GGCACACCAGCAGCAACGTCTCAAGGCCAGAAATCAAAACAGCTTGCGTTGTCAAGGCTGCTCTCTTCCAAACCTAGGGATCTGCGCTGCAAGCAACTTGGCTCACCTCATGCAAAACTTTCGTAAAAAGACCAAAGCTTGCATTATTCAAAGTTTCGATCAACGCTTTAGCACCCGGATTCAAGGAATGATGCATAACTTGTGCTGCCACTTCTTGAAGGTAAAATTCTAAGGTTTTCACCCTATTCCACCGTCCACGCCAGCAAATTAGAGGAATATTTTCGGTCTGAAGATACAAACAAGTCGCTCCTGACCCGCGAAGACTCCCAGGGGTAACGCCTTTGTGCACCTGCTTGCAAGGCACCCCTAACACAGTCATGACCGCGTTCCACTGATTCCTATACATGCTGATTGAACCACCAAAAAGTCGTTCTTTTAGGCCAGCCGAACCAAACATGGCATCAACGAAGGAAATAATTTCAGGATCGGAGATCTTCACATGCTGTTGCCTGGCGAATCTGAACGTTTTCGGGTTTTTCAAGTGGACATACAAAACCTCGGTGGAGAAAAATGTATCTCGAGGCAGCATCAAATCACAACGTTCCAAAAAGATAAATTCGGATGGGTGAAGCATTCCAGCAAATGCGATCATTGTGACCGCAGCCCACCTGTTCCAGTTCCATAGCATTGCAACGCAAAGAGCGGCCCTGAAAATGGGCAAAGACAAAACTGGTCGGCATTCGCCGGGTTCAGCAACTTGCCACTTCTTGTCTATTTGCCAAGCGGGCCCCATAAATGGCCGATGCTGCGGGAAACAATCTTGGATTGCAGTTATTGCGTAAACATACATGTAACGCGGATAGCCCTTCCGATACAAATGCATGCCGTAGGCTCTGAGGGCTAAACTGCAAGTCTGATGCTCATGCATCAAAAGATCAAAATCAATCTGCAACTCGGCTGTGGTCCACTCACGAAAGGCTTGCAAGCATTTCTTCATGCGCTGCGATGTCGCTTTTGCGAAGCCGATTTCCATGTCAAGTTCACCTCTGCTTCGCCTTTGTTTGTCAGCAAACACTGGGCCTGGATTTCGCTCAACGTCACCAGAGATCAGCAGTAACAGACGGATCCACCGCCCAATCACTTTGGGATATGCTGAAGCTTGGCAAATCATGTCAAAAACTCTAAAATCTCCACGCTCCAACGCAATAAGCCAGGCTGGCTTGCTTTTTGTTGGCCCCTCTACCTCACGTTCACGAGACGGTGCGTCGGCTCGGTTTTTGGCTGAATAAACGTGAAGGGTCCCCGGGTAAAGATTTGAACCTATAAGATACGGGATGGTCTTTTTAAGAACCCTTGAAATTGCAAAACTGCTGGATCTACCCTTTGAAGCGGCTCCGATCGTAACTCTACTGTCAAGTAAACCTATTACCCGATGATTGAACAAAGCTTTGGCACAATGCTTTATCCAAGACAAGTAGACCTGACTTTCAAGAACGTTGATATGATTGCCCTTCCTAAACTTGTATTTAAACAATGTAGAAAATTCAAAGGAATCAGCAATTTCACCAATCCACTCGGGGTCCTCGAACCAGGCTCGCGACTCCACTGCTGACTCGGACGAGTTCAGGGGTTCAAAAGCTGGCTCTAAAACGCCCGGAATTTCAAGGCCAACCCTTCCCAGAGAATCGAATGTCAATAATTATTACTGACATTCGTGAATGTTTGAATTATTTCTGACATTGGCCGATGTCAGTTCTGAGAACCGACATTCATAAACTGTATATTTTCATAAAAACTCCCAAAAGCATAGGCTGCAGTGCGCATACCTTGCTGAATTTTGATTTGTTACCATGGTTTTCTACACTTAGTTTTGTTTGTTCTCAAAATACACACCCAACAAATCATAATTTGTGACAGCTAGTGCGAGTTTGTGAAATGAGGTCCTGGTAACTGGTATGTGGATTGATTTGAGATGAGTTTGCAATGTGGCATGATTGTTAATACTGTCCTGTTGTTTGTAAAAGGTATAAACAAGGTCTTTCTGCACCTCAAGCCTTCCATGATCTTCCATGTTTTTTTGGAGCAACTCCCGTGCAAAGTGCCAAACATTGGCCATTTGTTTACGCTACCTTCAAAAGATGAAAAGGTATGCTCAGACTAGGCCATAGTGTGCAGTGGTACGCAATAAGTAATTAACACCGTGTGTGTCAAAACTTTCTTGATTGCTGTTCGTTTGATGTTCCATGATTTTCCCATTTTTTGTGGTGGTTTTCCCAAATTGTGAAAAAGTCAAAGGGTAAATTAGTTCTGTGGGTGTCTAACCTTCATGATAGATTGGGCTCACCGAAATGTTGTTGCTTAATGTTTTATTTTTTAGGTTTGAATTTGGTGTTCAGCTAACATCGTAAAGTCCTGACGTCTCGTATTCCCTGACGTCTCGTATTCTGCTAATCTTTTGATTAAAGCCATTTTGCCGCAGCTAAGCTATATATATAATATACATGCATATACACAGAGAGAGAGAGAGACATTTTGCAGTTTTACATGGTAAGTAGTAAATTAGAATATGAACTGCCGCCAGTCACTACATAATATCTAATTTCTTGCTGATTCTTCTTTATTTAAACCCAATGTCCCTAATACAATCAAACCCTACAAGGTGTTCAATGGGCTAGTTGTGAAATTCAGTTCCGCACAGAATTTGTTCGGCGCAGCAACAGAAGAAAACAGAAGCGACTGGGGCCATTTCTCTAACCAAATATGAACCAGCTGCGCGGGTACATGAGTACAACTTTCGATCAGCTCCATATTGACACATAAAACACAACAAACTTGGGGAGTTCCAAGATGGGGGTTCCTGAAACACTTGGTGGAGATGAAAACTTGCTCCGTGTGGGTGGTAAACACTTAGCATGTAAACGCTGCAGCCGCACTTCTACCATCTAGCTGCACGAGACCAGCATTAAAAACAAACAAAACAACATGATCAAACAAACAAAATAAATACCAAAAGTGCCAATCGCACAGGCAGCTGTTCAGCTTAGGAAGCCTTCGTATACCGCCGTATTGACGTCTCAAGAAAAAGAGATGGAACAAAAACTGTTGGGAGAGGGCTTCAATCACATGTTACAGGAAGAACGGTAAAGTGCCAGAGATTGTGCAAACATATAACTTCTTGTTGAATCTTATTGACAATATTGACAGAATTTTATTTTTTCTTAGGCGCACTGCGTGTGAACAACTTCCAGAATCAATAAATATCAAGGCACACTGCGCGAAATCACGCTAAATCACGCCAAATCACGTTAAATCACGTATGACTTACAAATCTTCGTTAATGTATGTTCTCACAACTGACATTCGGCTGTTTTCTTTATGAATGTATGTTCTCAGAACTGACATTCATAAATTTGCATTTTTCCATAGTGTGTCAAATCACGCGAAATCACGCGGAACCACAATGCTGCTATGATCCCCTTTGCAAAGCAAAACCAGTAATTAATAAAACCTCATTGCATTTGGTTGTTTTGGTTCTTCAAAATCTCAGCCACACTGCTTATGCTACGCATCAAATGTCCTTTGCGTTACCTATTTGTTTGGTAGTTTACTTAGCACCATGGCCCTCAAAATGATAGACGAAAGATGGCAACGCAAATTCTGCGCAAAGTAGCGTCATGCAGTTGCATTGATAGATATGGTCCTGGTCTATGCGTGTAAACCTCGGCTGCCTCAACCTTCCCAGTCACAAGACCAGAACAACCTAATGCATTGTTGTGCCTTTTTCCACCACTTTTGGCTAAACTTCGGCATGAAACTCCCCCAAATGCATGAACTAAATTGGGGTTGGACAAAGTTTTACCTACATGACTTTATTGTGTTTGTTCTTACCGTCTTAATAAGGGCCGTACAACAACCAAATGTTGGCAAACCGACCTACACTTCTAGTGAAAGGAGCCAACTGGTTCACTGGGTGGTGGTTTGACACAGCCAGTTTTCCACATTTTTGTGTATATATATACATGTGTTAGATGTATAAGCATACAACATGTACATATTGTATATGTTTTAACTATGCATATTATGATGCATATCTGTGATAGTACATGAAGCACAGCTCATGGCTGGCCAGCCATTTCCAGCCGATCAAACGATTAGTAAGTATCCAGGTCGAAACATCCCGTAAACCAATGCCCAATAAAAACAAACAGCAAGTCGGGACTGTTGCATGCCATCCGCCGCACTATTTACACTAAATAGTTAATGAGTTTATGCGAGGCTCATGTGCTTGGTAGGACTGTTCTCATTAGAAAACACTAGGTTGAAGTTCGAAGGTCTGACATGGTCCGACTAATTTAGATTAGCGCCATGATGTGGACTCAGCACCAACAACCTTAACGTTTGCTGGGCTCAATGAGTTGGAGTCTTTCAAATTGAGCCAGACAAAACCTCACATAGCATGTTACAAAATTCTTTGGATGGTGCTGTTGAAGGTAAAGGAATCCAACGCACTCTAAAACAGGAGGATTCCAGGTAGTAAAGTGCACAGCCTTCAGCATTCCAAAATCTCAGTGTTTCGTTTCTGGGGCATGTGGCTTTCATTCTTTCAGACCATGGCCTAACAACCTCTCTCAGTTGAATTCAGCTGGCAGTTGAAACCTGAGTTTTGATGAAGGGTCAGTCAAACTTTTACTGCATTGTAACACAATTGCAAGCATGCACAACAACATACAGCACATCATTAATTACCATAGATAAGTTCTTAAACTGAAAGTGTGAAAAGTCATCAGAACTCATCACAACTGTCATCAAATGAAACAAACATATACTATGTCTTTAAAAAGAAGTCATGAAGAGTCACACCAAAGTTACACTAAACCATATAAAGTCATCCAAAGTCAAAAAAGTCATAAAAGTCATAAATTATGAAACATTTTCGTGAATGTCTGTTCTGAGAACCTACATGCCGAATGTCAGTTCTGAGAACCGACATTTGAATGTAAGAAACTATTGCTGACAGAGATTGTCTGGGCTTTTAAACGAAAGCAGGCGCGCACTAAGAGGCATGATTGATGGACCTTCTTTCTTACAGCTGCTACTTCCTTGGGCCACGCGTGTCATGAGACTAGCTGGATATTGGGCTGAGTAACTGGACACAGCTTCTCCAACCATAGGCAGGCGTCCGTACACAGCAACTGCACTTGGCTCGCATCGTTGATTGAACTGCTCAATGGAGTTCCTGGTGAACGAACCCTTGATGGTAAAATGTTTGAACTTCCAACGACACTTGCAAGGCCCTTCAAACTGCAACAACCAACTTTTGTTATGGAGCCACTGGGATGGTTTATTGAACGCTGAACCGAAGTTACAAAAAGCCATCCTAGTTACAACACACCCGCGCTGAACAAGAACCCTGAAAAGATGCATGCTGAACATCACAGACGATCCTGGCTGTTCGCAACTGAAGTAGGCTCCAGCGCTAACAGCAACAAGGCCCAACATGGCCGTTCGGCGGGCAAGGAGGTTGTGTGCAGCAGTCACTGGCTCATTCATGTTAAAGCCTGAAGGGTGTTGGGTATTGCGGAGACGGGAGCGTCTCAGCGTGCCAAAGGTCAGGCAAGGAGGTCCAGCATGAAACTCTCTGACTACCCTACGGTATGCCAAAGCCATGACTTCATGAAAAATGCTCTTGTCTGATAAGTCATTGAAAAACAGACGGTTTTGGTTCTGCTGATAGCCTGGATGCACTAAAAGTCCTTGCTGCTGGTGAGCAAGGGACCATCCTCCTGAGCCACGGAATATTTCCACACAATCATAGAGCACTCCCTCTTCAAGGCCCGGTGGAATCTTATGCTTTGGCACTTCAACATGAGTATTTACAAGGTTATCGAGTTCGGGGCTATGAGCATTCTCTATCCCATGTTCGGCAAGGATAGCTCCGGCTGGTCCTAGCAGATTAGTATGATACCCACGCTGTTCGGCGTGTCGCCACAGTTCTGAGATCAGGGGCTCAGAGGTTTTTGCTGAAACTATCGCTCCACCGTATGGTGAAGCATCCAGTGAGAACAGCTTTTCACAAAAACTCACCCTTAAGTCCGCTGGTGCGCACGGCCCCAGCAAACAAAGGGATATAAGTTCGTGACGTGAATGAGACGACAGGCAGAAAACTTTGGTTGAGGGATAGTTCAACCCTTCTTTGAACAAGGCATCAATGAGCGCTAGTAGAGGTCGCCTGAACAAAACCACATGAACCCAACAACCCAAAATGGAGCTGAGAATCTGTCTCGTACAAGTACCCAATTTCGCAATGAGAGAAGTCATCCAAACAAGCAACAAAACACGAGACCGCGGTGCGCTGACACGGCCCTTTATACCATCGAAGTCTGCCCCCAAAATGGTTCCCCGGGTCTCATCTCTACGGGCTTTACCTGGATGAGAAACTAGACCCACCTTCTTATAGGCTTTTTGCGCTGCATCAAAAACCCGGGTGTCCCGTAAACTTGGCCTTTTCGGAAGATCTTCCAAGGGTAGCCGCTGGACACCGATATGATCATCAATAGCCAAAAGTTCAACGAAATCACCTCTTGGGATGGGCTTGCGATATTCTAAAGTCTCCGACTCCAGCATACTGCCGCCTTCCAACTGCAAAAGGGCATGATGGCTCCCCTGAGCTATCTCCACTGCGTGCCCATCGCCCATGGCAAGGGTTGCCAAGGCTGGGTAGTAGGGGCCCTCAACCGCAGGATCAAAACAAGACAAACTTCTGACTTCGGAGGGGAAAACCTTGGTACCGATGCAATTCCGCTTAGCACGGGCCCTTGGCTCCTTGAAAGTGTAATAGAAATCTGACAAGTCGTCTGCAGAAAATCGAAAGGCCTCACCCGCCTTCAGAGTGAGAAGAGCTAGTAAAGCGCCGGGGGCTAACTTTTTGGTGTAAGCACTATATGCCATCATCCTGGAGTTCAACACAGTCCAGGAGAGGTTGTGAGGCCATAAGGATCACCCTTGCGGCCAAAGACCACATAGTGCATCTTAGGTGTTTTGCAGGAGTTGAAATGGTATGGCAAAGGTCTGGGCTATACCAGTCTAAAGATGAGAGACAACGCTCCGCTACCATGCCCACCTCACTCCAGTCTTTGTTTTCTTCACTGGAGTGCTCAAACTTGGTGATCCAGGTGCATCCAGAATGTTCAAAACCCAGCTAGCTCACCTGTCAGCTTTTTTTCAAAGCTGCACTTATCACACAGATCTTGAGCCATAAACCCTCACACACACACCTATAGCTTATATATTCACAAACTATAAGAAACGTCATGTCTCAAAGTCTCAAAGGTCGATGTTTTCCAACAGCTTGTTCGCTTCGGCGCATTTGCGCCGCTCGTTCTCTCTAAGCTGTCTTCAACAGCGCACTAGAGCCGAGCCAGTGAAGAAGCGCCAGCACACAGTAGTGCTCTAAGCAACGAAAACTTTGTGTACATGGGTGAGAGTGCTTTGCTAAGCGCTTGAGCTTCCCATTCAAGTCCTCATCTAAATACGTCGATGTGTGCCTTGGATTGTTCTTGTTGTAGGCAAGGAAGTCTCTGAACAAGTGCTCCGACGCGTGCATCTTTGGGTACATAGGATACCGCAATGACCGGCCAGACAGAGCCGAGGAAGATAGATCTCAGAAACAATCATCGATTTAGCTATATAGAAAATCAGTCGATCTACTAGCCCACAGAACTTAACAGCCCGGGCGCAATTGTATGATTCTCTGAAGATATCATAGGCCATCAGGATTTCTCCAATGGCAGAATCATCGTGGATGAACTTCCTCAAAACTAGTGAAGTGCTAGGTTTCTTCCCCTCACAGGTTTCCACTACTACCATTTTACTGTTCCACTGCTTTTTCTTTAGCTGCCGTGGCTCCCATGGAGAGCCAGCTCTGCGTAGATCTTGGTCAAGGATCCAAAGAGATTGGACCGGTGCCTTGGTGATCAAATCAAACTGGGAAACTTCGGAGACCTGCAGGGCAACATGTTCAGCTGGAGTGATCCTCAATTGAAACCAGATACTTTGCAAGAGCAGTGGACCCATCCACACACGCACGGGCATAGGTGAGCTCAGCGAGCCAAAAGATTAACATGCGATTGGCCGCACCTTTGCAAATCTTTTGGGAAATATGGGGATAGCCTCAGTTACAAACGGGAAAGCCACACCTCAAGGTGAAGGAATCCAACAAGATCTTCAGATTGGGAACTGTTGCTGCTAGGCAGTAGCGTTTTCGCTGTGAACAGCTTGGGAGATGCTCGAGATGCATGTGGCACCCCTCAGGTTCATAGATGGGAGTCTGAAGTGATCAAGACTCTCAAAATTCTGCAACCAATCTTCAGACAAATCTGACAAATGTGACTAAGGCACTTTGTTGTTTGCAAAACTCGATATAGGACATGTGAAGATCTGATAGCCTTTGGTCCCTCGTGCCAGCACCAGCATCGGTCATATCCAGAAGGCACCCACAGATTGAATCAGGGAGAATTTGAAGATCCATGACATGTAGGATGTCTCCATACAGCCCTAGGGGGAACTGGAAGGCTCTTGAACTTTCTTTGACATTTGCAGTCCACATAAACTTGGAGCCACTAGCTGCATCAAAGCTACGCCATGGATTGAAAGCAGGGATCATGACCAATGGCGTCAGTCCATGGATCTGGATGAAATCCTCCTTGTTCTGGATCAGCCTTGAACAACAGGAAAATGTTTGCTTCAACTTACAACGCCACAGGAACACCATGTTTGAGGTTTAGGCTGCTAAGAAACGTGTCTCTGTGAGCTGCGTTCTCTCCCCAGTAGGTGTACAACATTGACTGGGCGTCGTCACTGTCCAGTCGTTGACATGCACAGCAAAAGGGGCAAATCATCTTCCTCCTGCTGTGCCAGGATCCTCATATGAACTGCGTGTGCCTGTTTCCAATTAAGCCAAGTCCAACAACAGAAACAATAGTGGCGACACAGCTTATAGATAGAACAAGGTTCGTGAAAAACGGAAGGTCTTGTGAAGCCACTCCTGGTCACCTTGAAACCCGTCGAGTGCAGCTCGCCAAGATCCCGCCAATAGCTGGCCCGCTCGAAGTGCAAACTCAGGATGATATTCACTGGAGAAGCTCTGGCCCCATGGATCAGAAGCAGGCCATCGTCCCGAGCCTTTGGCCCAAAAAAGAAATCAGTTCAAGGGCCACCAGGATTCTACCAAAATTCTCAACAAGAATTCCATGGACTGGACCAATGGTTTTCCAATTGAGCTGGAGCACTCATAGCTGTGAAGCTCCAAGCCACCCACTGAAACAAACAGTTCCGCGTTGCTTCATTGGTATAGGTCGTGCTCCTCATGCAAAGCCTGAAGTCTCAGCGTAACAGAGGCCTGGAAGGTTACATAACTTAAAACCACAGACCAAGGGGCACAATCCGGGTGTCCATAGATGATGAAGAGCTCGCACATGTAGGAATCATACTGATCACTTCAATATGCTGCCCACCTAAAGGTCCAAGAGACATAACATCAATTGGTATGACATGGTAGCTAGGAAACCTGTGTTGCGGCCAGAGGGCTGCTTGAAATCTCCACCTCGTCTCCATACAAGCGAAATGGAACCACTGAAGATGGGAAGTGTTCCGGGGCCTCACCAGAAGCATACCCATGCACACAGACACACACACACACACCACCTTGAAGCTTCAACAGCCTCAGGATCTTCACGCCAAAGATCACGGAGTTCAGCTTCAAGATCTGGGTTCATGTCCCAGTACTCCTGAAGAGCCTGGGCTGAAAAAGATCGAAGCAGGGTTGATGTTAAGCTAGGACATGCATGTGCCTTTTCAACGTTGGAGCCATGTAACAAGAGGGACTCCAGTGAGCATGGAGTTGAACAAGAGCCCATTCTGGAATTGAAAAAAATGGGCAAAGATTGCATGTGGCAGCAAGAGCCCGACGTCAATCTCTTTCCGTTGGTGTTCTTTTTTGGCCTTGGAGCAATTAAGAAAAGCAATCTCAAAACACACCGCAAACGTTTGATCTTTTCGATATTCCAGGAAAGTTACTAAGTCCGTGGCATTTGGGAATGTCAGCCTCAGGTCAATAGAAGTTCAGGTTTCACCCCATATCTCACTCCATGTTGGGAATCTCAAAAACATTTTCATCAAGGTGCTTCAGGACTGGCGGCAGAACCTGCCGGCACGGTTGCCGCGCGATCCACTTGCTGAAGGCCCGCTCGAGGCCCCATCCACCAGATTGCTCAAAGCAATCAACCAAATCAATAATGGGCGACCTGAGCTTTTTCTTAAGAAATGCACCCACAGGTTTTGAGATTCACAAGATGCTGCAGGTAAAGGCCCGTACGGCACAAGGTACTCCGGCATCTCTCCAATAGCCATGAGCAGCTTTTTCAAGTCCCTCATAGAAGCCTCGCCAATAACAACCCTATCGTAATCAAGCTTTACTTTCCTCCACAAAAAGCTTGCCTTCCCAGACGTCAGCATCTCAACAAGCTGCACCACCAAAGCACCAGCGCCCCGGTCTTTCCGAGGAATCTTCGAAGGAGCACCTGCGATAGCTGCTGTGGCCAAATGTCTCAATGGGCCGCTACTTGGCTGGTGTACAAACAGCACAGAGCTGTACGGATTGTTTTCACCACAGACATTTGCAGAGTCCCATGGCTCAATGCATGGGTGCGCCCCCAAATCGCGCTGGTATCACAACGCTTGCCCATTTGGACCTGGAAAAGGGGATTTGATGGACTTGGAATTGGACCTTTAGGTCTGTGCAAAAACATGTAAAAACCAGTCAGGTCCACCTAGGCCTTTTCTTCGGACACCTTTTTCTGTCTCGCTTTCTCCCCTTAGGAATGAATACAAGGTCAGACAATATGAATAAAGGTAAAGAAGAACATTTGAGAATGGGGCTGCTCTTCCAAGTACGGACCTGGGACTTGACACCATCGATGAAATCTTCACTTTCCTGAGAAAGGACTGAAATCTTTTCCATTGATCAGTTTTACTGACATGGCCTGAACCATCTTTTTCTTGTTGTCCCATTTTCGCAGGACATCTTTGCACGACATGCCCTTGACCATCAGGTCATCATACCTGCAAACAATACATGCTATTTTGGGAGACAGGTAAACACACTAATATCACTAGCTGAGGGCAATACTTGGCAGCCAGTTCCGACAGATAAGTGTGCTTCTCCTTGATCTTCTCGTGGGACTCCTGGACACTGCAAACCAATTAAGGAAGCGCTACACCGCTGGAAGCTTCCGACCTCCGTGTTGGGATACTTGGCAAGATCTTGTCCAACTCCAATTGCCTTCTTGGCAGTACTTCGAAGCCTTACTGAACCAGACCAAAAACAAATTCCAAATAATCTAAATGTTTCTAAGGAAGCTCAGGCTTCAGCGACTTGATGATTTTGTCAACTTCTTTCTTGTCTTTCTCCTCTTGCGTTTGTTCCTTGGGCTTCCTGGGACTTTCGGGCCCTGGCCCATCCCCCTCATCATCACTCCCCTTCTTCCCCTTCCGTCCCTTGCCCTTAGGCCCTTTCTTCTCAGCTAGGCCTGACATAGGAAAAGGCCTCATGAGGTCGAGCGCTGCCCCCAGGGCCTTCCTGTGGTCGGTTTCAGTACTCGACGGTTTGGAACTGCCGGGGACTCCACTAGCAGAGTCTTCAGGCGCCACATCATCAGGTGTGTCCGGCTCTGGTTGCTCCATGCTACCCCCACCACTGATCTTGGTCCCTGCACGGTTCTCATTCCCACCTCAGCTGAAGGTTGTGGATATAGAAGGTTCTAGGAGGTCAGAGAGCAAGTGTTGTGCAAACAAGGCGCTTTTGGTTTTTCTTCCAGTGAAGACCCGGTATATTCGATAGTTCGGGTTCTTTCTGAACTGCAGGCAGAAGATTGAAAAACAACCATCCAGACACATACTATCCCAAAGCCTCTTTCTTCGGGTGTGGCGTTCCCTTCTGTGACTTCACGATGTCAGCAATGTAGGCCCTCACAAGTGTTTTGGGTTAGCTTCAAAATCCAAAAGAACAAAAACCACCAGGCAAGCCTTCCAGCTTCAGTCCCACCATATTTCTCTTGCAAATCCAGGAGCATCACCTCCTCGTATGTCTCATAGTTCTTAGAAACATCAGCCCTGAAGTGGCAGGCAAGGACACATCCCCACAAATTCTGACCTTACAGCTAAGGACGCAGCGACTCCATGTATGCCATCATCTTCACATCCCGCCTGGAAGATTGGTGCCAATCACAGTTGACCGTTGAGACTTGTCCAAAGTGCACAAGGGTTAACCGGGCAGGAGTGCAGTTCATCACTCAGCAGGAACTTCTTCAGAAGCTCGAACCTATGAGCATGGAGAGTTGCAGCCAGGTTTGGTCACTAGAAGCCACACAAACAAGATGGGGGTGCTTCTTGGTATGACTTCCAGCTGCTTCATAGTAGGCGTTCATCAGCTTCGGCGGCAGACCTGCATGAAGATAAGGGGATCAAGTATGAATGAAGCTACAATTAATCTAAGCCAGACCTCCCTGCTCAAACCGTCGGTCGAGTGCACGGTAGAGACATCTTCTTTCCTGGAAAAACATATTGCTCAAACATCAAGTTTTTGGAAGTGTTTCCGTCCTGAACATCGATGTCACTGGCCGAAGTAGCCCTCTCAATTGCAGCCTTTTGTTCATCAGACAAGTTCTTCACCTTAAAGCAAAAGACGTTCCATTCTCAAGTAAGAAAAACACGCATAGCTGAGGACAGCACTCGCTTCAGGCGGCCGGATTCATCGCGGACTGCCAATCCCCGAATCTTGATGTCACCGCCGTTTGCCTGCAGGAAGGGATCAAGAACAATGTTTGTCAGCAAAGGCAAAGTACAAATTCAACTCTCAGATCTAGCTGCATACTCGATGGTAGCTGATGTATCCGACTTCATCCTGAGATCAGTGCACATGTCAACATTCTTTTTAAAACAGTTAAGTTTTTCCAAACCAGTATTACTATACATAGCCAAGGGTCAATGCAGGTCTAGTTGAACCGGATGGATCACCACCTGGACCAAAAAAACAATGAGAAGCACATGCGTGATACGTTGAACGCCTGCATCCAGTGTGGACTCGGTCTCCTTAGCCGAATCTTCCTTTACTTCCCCTGAATAAAGAAAACATACAACAAACAGGGGCAAGTGTGCCCATCACCTGCATCTTTCTTTTGTTTCTTTGTTTTTTCTGGCGCAGGCTCTGCAGGTTCACCTGAAGAGATCCAATATCTCAAGGAAAAACAAAATGGAGTTCTAAGCACCTCGATCAGCCTTTTGTTTTTTCTTTCTCTCCTCAGGCTGCTTTCCCGCCGCCTCCCCTGAAACAGACAGGGTGCGGAAAGAAGTGAAAAACAAATATTTCCTGAGCGCCTGCGTCAGTTTTCTTTTTCTTCTTGGGCTCCATTTCCGCCGACTCCCCTGAAAGAGACAGAGTGTGGAAACAAGTGAAAGACAGATGACCTGAGAGCCTGCGTCAGCTTTCTTTTTCTTCTTGGGCTCAGGTGCCTCCACACCTGGTGACAGGGAGACGAGAAGATATGAGAAGATATCATATAGTGGAACACAAAGCGTTAAACATTTGGGCATCACAGTGGCCTCCAGCAACTGTTCCACTCTTGCTGCTCGAAGCACCGTGTTCACCAGCGTGTAGCTCTTCCAAACTGTTTGCATTAGCCTCCTTCACCAACAGCGTCTCAAGAAACTTCACAAAGCGAACACAAGGCAGATCTTTGAGAAGGAGCTGGATGGCCTCCTTCTTCTTCTTCTTTGTTTCAGCCACAGGCTTCATGGGTCTCGCTTTCTTAGCCTCCTCCTGTGAGAGCGTCTGGAGAAAGCTCACAAAGCGAACACATGGCAAATCCTCAAGTTGCAACTGGCCGTCCTCACGTTCAGCAACACTCTTTCGCAAAGGTGCACTTTTCAAAGCTCGCAATTCCTCTGGCGACAAGCTGTCTAGGTCTACATTGCCATCCTTGATCGCCAGCGCTGCAGGCTTTGCGCTGCTCTTTGCTTTCTGTGATGCCCGCTGTTGAAGCTCACGCTGACGTTGTTCTGCTTCCTCCTGTTCCCACTGCATTCGTTCTGCTTCCTCCTGTTCCCACTGCATTGTGAGGTTTTCCTCCCACTCAGCCCACTGTTCCTCAGTCCAGTGAAAGCTCACACGTCTTTCCACTGGTGGAGTATGCTCTGGCAACTCAGCTGCCTCAGAAAAAGGTAGCTTCCTGCGGACATTGTCATTCGACTTGGCGCGTGGATCAATCCAGCCACTGGGCTTCTCAGGCTTGGGTGGGGCTACACGACCAGCCTTCAAGTCTTTACCCAGTTTGTTCAAGCGAGCCTCCATCTCCTGCGGCGTCAGAGATTGCATCTGACTATAGATGGTCATCACTTCATCCTCAAAGTCGCATGTCACCTGACTGTCTGTGGCAGTGGGAGGCAGGAAGCTCTCGCTGGCCCGGGTCTTGGATGTGCACCTCCTCAATGCACCTCCCGGAGGTGGCGTCACTAGGTCTATGTTCGCGCTCATAAGTTCCTGCAGTCACACCAAAAACCATCCATCCCAGGTTCACGGAATTTCACGGAATTTCACGCTCTACTGATCACATAGACGATCTATATGGGCATATTCACGGAATTTCACGTTTCTTCACGTTTGTAGTCTCTCCCCGGAACACTTCAATGTCATACACCTAGCAGCCCTTAAAGCTTATAGAAGACCTAATTTCACGATAGTTCTTGGGGTATGGCGAGACCTCTAGAGGACCCACAGGTCACTTTTGATGATGAACCACTATTGATAGAGGTTTCATTTAGCTTTCAGGGTGACAAACATATATGAGTTTCACTTTTGGTGGGTTTAACTTTTTGTATGTTGGTGAGATTAAGTGAATTTCACTTTTTTGTTGAAAGTGTAAGAAACGTGAATTTCACTTCTATATATAGCTTTGGTGAGACGTAGTGAATTTCACTGTTCACCCATTTTCACTATTCACAGGTCTGAAACGTGAATTTCACTATTCTCAATCCACCATTGTCGACGCATCAGATACGAATTTCACTTGTATACTCATAGTCAGTGGTGTCAGAACCGTGAAATTCACTTTATTTGTATCATTGCCAATTGGTGTTGGAAACGTGAATTTCACTGTAAATTGCATAACCAGCGGTGAAGAAACGTGAATTTCACTTTTACTCATATAGTCATTAGTGTCAGAAACGTGAATTTCACTTTTACTCATATAGTCATTGGTGTCAGAAACGTGAATTTCACTTTTACTCATATTCAGTGGTGTCAGAAATCTGATAATTTCTGTTGGAAACGTGAATTTCACTTTTTTTTGTATAGCCAGCAGTGCCAAAAACGTGAATTTCACTTTTACTCATACAGTCATTGGTATCAGAAACGTGAATTTCACTTTTGCTCAAAGTCAGTGGTGTCATAAATTTTAATTTCACTCGATCCTGTTGTGTGTTTCACCTTTAATCTGTCAGTGTCCCATAGTGACTTGGTGAAAATCACTTTGTGGATAAACAGGTTTTGGTGAATTTCATTCATTAGGAAAGCTTAGAGGAAGTTCCAACACTGTGTCAAATGATCATTGGTTGTGAAATTCACTCTTCTGGTTGTTGTTAAATCTCAGTGGTCATGCATGTCACGTTTCTGGTGATGGATCCAAGGATCGCCAATTTCGATTGCAAGACTGCATATATTTGGCTGGAGAAGCAAGCTGCCACTCCAGAAGCTCGACTGGGTAAAGGGAAAGGGTTTGTGGGTAGGACTGATGGGAAGCATCCTGAATGTTATGTATTCTGAATTCTTCTATGGCCCGTTGGTGGTCCTTGGCAACCTTTCCAACAAAAGGAACCTAGCTTATGTATAAAGTTATATATTTTGTTATAATATAGATTTTGGTACATACGAAGGAGCTTGCGTGACCATACAAGTATCAAGTACCAGCCAGCCTTCGAAGTCGATGATGAAGGCGTTGGGATATCAGGCACAAGGTCGTTCCTCATAAGGTCAGGTACTTGTAATCAGTGTAATGGTGGAGCAAATGCGTTCTAAATACTCGCAACCAAGTCTCAAATCAATGGTGAAGACTATCTCCAACCACACGTGAAAACCCCTTCTTGAACAGATCCAGCAACAGAGTCATTCAAAGATCACAGATGCTGATTTCAGCCATGACAATCAGACCCCCCCAAATCCCTACAAACCCTGAATATCCCTGAATTGTTTAGCTACTAACAGGGGACTTGGGGGGGGGGGCCAGATTTTCATAGCCATCGTGATCAAGAGGAAAGACTTCTATAATGAAGGTTTAAAGCAATCCTTTCCGAGCTCCGTGCAGATCAGCCTAAAAGATCCATCTCGAGCAGCAGAGTGCACACTGGAAAGCTGACTAGTTTTCTTGGACAAAAGTAAGAAATACATATCTAGTATACTACACATGTATTTGCAAGCGTGGAAATCTTGCATGCACTCTCCTGGCAAATACCAATCTAGGAATCTAGGATATCTGCAAGACCGGAATCGTCCGACTGTTCACTGCCATCATCCTGGAACACCAGGCCAGTGTCATCGACAACCCGACCGCTTGCACCACGGTCCCTTGGAAAGATTGGATCATGAAGGCCCGGGCCCAATCTATTGAACTGATCTTTTTCAAAAGAACAAGGCTAAGGCCAATGCATTTCTTCTCGAAGTAGAGTGCCAAGCTGACAGGGAATGGATTTAGCTACAGGCCTGCAAGTATGACCTGCATGACCAAGCCTGCAAACCCAGCCCCAATGGGTATGCCGCCGTTGCTGCCAAGTCACGACCACCAACCTGGGCACAAAAAAGTACATATGGACACTCTTTTCACGAATTTGAGGTCATCTGGGTTGCAGGCGACCTTCATCTCATTCTGCTTGGACTTGTAGCGGCGGGCGGTTTCAATACCGAGCCTTGACTTCAATCGAGCAAGTCGCTGCCTGGAGCCAGTGGTCATATAGGTTGGTTCCATGACCATGCACACATCATTACACGTACTAGTGGCCCACAAAGTCAACCAGCCTCCAAAAACAACCTCTATTGTTCGTCATTGTCTTTGTGACCCTGGCCTTTGCCCCACATCGGCCTTTTTGCCAAGTCTATGAAGAAAAGGACAGTTGGTCATCACAGTGATAGGCTTCCTGATGGTCAGAGGTCTTTGCACCAACGAAGTGGCCACACACGTGCAATTCACAATGCGCAGCAAACATGAGGGTTCAGTCACTAAGATTGCATGTTTTTGAAAAGGCCAACTGTCCAAGTAGCAAAGTTTGGGCTCCGTAGGCACCCAGCTCAATCTTGACTTCATAGGCAGAATGTCGCTCCAAGAGTTTCTGCAGCAGGGAAATGAATTGCTCCACAGGGCAATTGTGAACACAGCTTATAGAGTTTAGTTTACTACTGCCTCCAATGGCCGGTAGTACCATAGCAGCGACGACTGTGGCTGTTCCAAAGCAAAAAACGCATGCTTCTTGCACACGTACTCAATCCTAGGCGCAAAGGCAATGACATTTAAGAAGTCTTTTGTGGACATTCCATGGGCAGTGGTGAGCAAAAGAAAACACTTTGGGTACACCATGGGTCAGATAGCACGCTCGTCGAATCAGCCTGTTTGCTTCTTTGACCTTATGGAAGGCTTTCGAACCTGCACAGATCTCATGGGTCCAGGCTGCAAGCACAGGAAGCCAAATACAACAAAGCAGAACATCAAGCCTCTAGGACGGGTGCGAGTTCTCCCCGTAGACCCTCGAGAAAGCCACACCCATGTAGCGCAGGGGGGGGCTATCCAATATAGCCCCCCCCTGCGAAGCGTCCGTAACTCAGAGCACATAAAGGCAGATGTCGCTTTTCTTTAACAATCCATGGAACCAAGAAACATTTTGCAAAATAGTCATGAAGCCAAGGCTGGTCATAATGTTGCGCCCACGATGATATCGAATCTGGGGCCAGGTTTGGAGAAAGCTAAAACCAAGTTAGCAAGTGATGCAGCGCATATATACTTTCAGAAGCCTTCAATTATGTCAAGGAGCATCTCGCTTTTTGCCACGAAGTTGCTGCATGCGCACCCCACAGCAAAGCAACCCCTCACCAGCGCAGTCCTCCTGGAAAGAAGTCTCCTCATCATGGCCAACCCTTCCAAAAGCCAACACGAGTATTTGGATCACAGCGCCAAGCAAACCATACTTCATGGCGACGCGACCGGCCCCACGCCACAAACGTGATGTGTTGCACAAACCAACAAAGTATATCCACAATTGGAAAACTGCAAGAAATATGATTGCGCATTTGTTTGTTTGCTTACATTTCACAGAATATCGAGCCGTGCGCTTGCAAGCTGCAGTCAATGATTTCACACACAGGCAGTGGCGTGCACACACGCAATTGCTCTTTGAAGCAATACATCCTTGAAAGAAAATGGGGGCACCTGCCAGAGAAGCGCCATGCACCTCCAACATGCATTTTACAGAAGAGAACAGCAGCAAACATCAGGAATGCCAAGGTTGCTCAAAACACAATCAAAGCACAAGAAGGATCAGAAGCTCTGCACTTATCACACAGCGATCCCTTCACATAAGATCCCTTGCTCACACAAAGGCTACCCCACAAGGAAGCATCACTTTGAAGCCTCCTGAAAACGCCCCGCTTGCTCAAACGAACCTTCTCCGCCGCCGCTCTGGGGATGGCAAACTCTCTATGATAGCCATCCGGGTCTTTGAAGTCTTCCACAAAGCTCGGATCTCTGGTCCTGAAAAGCCTTTGGCCTTTTTTCTCGAGAAAAAGGCGGCCATAGCCTCGCCCATTGGCCCATTGTTTGGCTTGCGCGTTTGCTTCTCCTTCTTTTTCACTGACTGCCCCGCAAGCTTGGGGGCCTTTGCTGCCAAGTCAGATGACCCCAAAGGTTTGGAAGCCTTCTTGTCAGAACGCTTCTTGGCCTTCTCAGCCTTGATTTCACCCATCAAAGCTCTTTTGCTCATCGGTTCTACTGGAGGGGGCGTGTGCCCATCATTGACAACAAAGATCTTCCTGCTCGAAGGAGTGCTCATGCAATCTCGAAGGCGCTGTGGCGCACGAGGAGTCGAAAGGCTATCCAAGACTTTCTGGCGGAACTGTGCGAAGGATATGTTTTCCTTGGGCATGCCAGGCACACAGACACCACGAAGTCAATCGATGAACGCGTGATGGACAGGTCTAAGAATGTGGCCATGCAATGCACTAACCTGAAAGCCCTGCGAGCATTCATGGACAGCCAAAATGGATTGAATGTGGTTTACCATATGTATACACATGTATGCATGGTAAATCACCTGTATTTGCAAATCACACTATGGACGACATAAATATAAAGTGCTCATTTTTCTCAATCAGCATTGAGGGTCCGTCTCATCCTCCACCTGGCAAATTTACATACCAAGGTATTGCTCACACAGCTGCTCACCACTGGCCTTTGGATCTGGATGGTTTCCAGCTTCTAGCCCTTCACGCAGTTCCTGGGCAAAGGGGCCGGTGCGCGAGCAGGGATCCAGTGAAGAGGGACTCCAAGCAGCCAACACCGGGGCCCACGTAGAGAGATGGGGGGACCTCAAAAACAACTTCATGCCACCCTTTTGTGAGCCAAATCCAAGATAGACAAATTGACTGGCGCACCTCAGCGACAAAGGGAACCACAGCACTTGTATCCTGGGCAGCTAAAAGTGAACTTCACTGCTTTCTAGTTTGCAGGACTTTTGCAATTCCTCTTTCCCTTTTGTTTTCCATTCACAGCTCTTTGGCGATCAATGAATTTTCCATTTTTGGGGATTGAACAGCACAGTTTTGGGAATAATCCATGAAAGTCCAAAACCATTTACTTCTACCATCATTGCCAGGATATGTTGTCTTGAAATGAGCTGAGCGTAGGACAACCTCTTGGTCGTCCTCCAGTGGGTCCTGATAAGCCGGTTGGGTCACAGCCACTAATATGATACTTCTATTAAACTATTTACACACCTCCTCTTCTTTTTCTTCTTGTGCAGGGTCGCTATTGTCGATCAAGGCTTCTTGAGGGTCAGCCTCACAAGACAAAATACATGCAACCTAAGACCTTGATCAAAAAACAATTTGGCCCAGCCTCGTCTTCAACGATAGGGTCCAGGAGCTCTGTAGTGTCCAGGTTCTCCGGGAGCTCTGTAGGCGCCAGGTCCTGGCATTGAGTTAGAAACCATAGGTCATCCTCAAAGTTCCAACGGTCCTCATCCAAGGGTGTGGCAATCAGCTCTCGAGCCTGGGCAAAATATATCATATATATATATGTTATGGGGAAAATCACCGCCACAGGATAAGGAGCCACGCTTCATCGGAGCTTTCATTCGAGTCCTGCAAAAAAGACTCTGTGACAGATTGTTCGATTCCACTGGTTGGGCTCATGACCTCAACGTCACTTTCCACTTCCAGGTCACCATCATCCTGAAAGACCAACCAAACTCAAAATATGAACAATTTTAGGCATCAGCTCAAGGCCTCATGAACTTCCGGGTCTGCCATCTTTCTGCGTTTTCGTGGGTTGTCCTGCAGCAAGACGCAGGACAGATTGGGAGAGTGGGCGGGTGGAACCACCTACCTCCTCCATGGCAGCGCAAACCTGCCATTTCAACCAATATATACACACAACCGCAATCCACTCACTCGATCCAGCCTCGGGCCCGGATGGATGAGGATCACTCGAGCCAACTTCCTGAAGGCGATCGATCAATGAAGATTCGAACGAAACCAGCACCTTGGAGACCAAGAAAAAAACGTTAGATGAACACATACAGTATATATATATATATATTTGGTCCAACAAAATTGTTTGATCGAGTCATCAAAGGATCCTTTGAACTCATTCTTTTGGCCTTCCTGGCCATGAGCTGCAGCCGTAAAGCTTCCTTGGATACGTAATCCGTAAAGGATTCTTTGGGATCTCTGGGCGGCGTGAACTGGAGCCTCCGAAGAAGCTCCCGAATGATAAGCTTGCACAAGCGACTGGTAAATATCCGTCCGCCATAGACGCCAAGAGTGACAAAACCAAAGATACGCTTCACACATCGACGCTTCAATGTGCCTCTTGGAATGAGTCGCCCACTGCGCTCGATGTCTTCTATGTTCAGTCTGGGCAGTAAACGGTCCACAAACGCTCCAGCGCGGGCCTGTCGTTCTAGTTTTTGCTCTTCACGCCGTCCGACCATCTCGACCGTTGCGCAACTAGATCGATCAGTTCTTGAATACTAATTCCTGTATTGAAAACCTGTCCCTTATTTTTCAGGGTGATTTTTAAAGACCCATCCAATACCCCCCAACAATCAATCTCTGTTATTCTTCAGTGGTTCAGGGTTCATGATCAAGGCAGTTTGAGCAGCTGGCATCCAGCAAAGTCAGAAAATCTGAGGATCCGAAATGCACATTGCTCTTCGATCGGCCTGGCCTGCTGCCGCTTCGCGCTCATCACACATTGCCCGAGTGAGCTTGGAAAAGTGATCCAATCCGAATTGCTCAAGTGAATATGGTTGCACAAAAAGTGAAACTATATGGTGTGTAACCAAGCTGTGCCAAAATTAGAGGGGATAGGGACCTTGAAACATAAATAGGGATAATAGGTAATAGGGCACTGTTTTCCTAACTGGTGCACTTGGAAGTGTGAACTATAAGAAAGTATTGGTTCTAAAAAACGTACAGTAATTAGTATGAGCAAGAACAGCCTGCACCTTAAGAAGCGGGCAGTGCTCAGACACAAACATCAACACAAAAACAAGCGCGCGCAAACGTGGAACCACAGCATCAAGAGCGAGTTCTCGAATGTCCCAACTCAAACGATGTAGGTTGTTGACTGGCATTTCCAACCATGCATCCTAGGTTATTAATTTCCGAGTTACACACAAATAATTGAAACTTCCGAGTTCCGGAGTTGTACAGTCTGACCTCCCAAACTACACGGTTGAATATAACCTGCAAGCGCATAAAAGTGAACTTGCACAACACGAGTTTTGGATAGAGATGCAGTCAAACAAACCTGTCAGTGTCATCACATGAGCCAAGGTTCTTCCACGCAGCTGTGCACTTTCCAGTGAGGGTAGTGGTGAACTTTGGAAAACATGAGCCAAACAATGCATGGTTGCGGAGCAACCCAGAAGAGGGACCTATGTGGCCGGTCAGTTTGGTGGTCCTATATGGCCGCTCAACCTCTCCTGGGTTGGATTGATAATGAGTCGGTCATATTCAGAATCCTTTGGCACGGCGAAAATCCCAACAGTTTCATGGCGGTCAACTTCTTTACAAGGAAACAAGGCTAAAGACCCATGGGCATCCCAGATTTTCAGAAGTTTCAACAACTCAGGACGAGAACATTGAACACGGGCCCTACCCCTATCTGGCCAGCTTGATTCTGGCATCCTCAAAGTGTTGGGATCGTCGAACACGGATTTCACAATGGGATCTAAGAGATAAGGCCGGGGATCGAAAGATGGGGGATGCTTCCATTTGATTCTTGACGCAATTACCTGCTTGTGTCCTAGGTCTTTAACCGCTATTTCGGGGGGACTATAGGTACATCGGGAATGTTCATCTTGATGTACTTCGTGATTTTTGAAATGCGGAGTCTCAAAAGATGCGTACGAATCGAAACCTAATTTGATGTCACGCAGCAATGCACTAAGGTCCACATCCGCGTGCTGCGGCAGTTCCTGCAGCGACTTTCCCAAAGCCGCGAATTTTTCACCGAACCGTCCTAAGTCCGCTGGACTAAAGGCTGGCACGTCGCAAAAGTGTGAAATGTGCTCTTGCAAGGTCTCTAGCACTTTATATTGGGAATCGGTCCAAGGCTCGCCCGCCTGGGCCTCTGCTGGTGGCCGGTCTGGGTATCCTAAGGTTATCCAATTCAAAAAGCACACAACTCTTTGCAACAACAAAAACTGAGCATACAGCTTTCTCCTACGACGGCGTTGTCTGGGTCCCGGTGACTGGTTGCTAGTCCATCTCCACAGGGGTGGTGGGACTGGCCACAAAGGCTTGCTATTGGTCGGCAAGCCAACAGTGCGTGAGAGCCAAGTTGCTATTGGTCGGCAAGCCAACAGTGCGTGAGAGCCAAGCTGGCACTAAAGATTTCGATCTAAACGTGTTGTAGCTGCAGGGGACTTGCTCAACCTGTTGCAACGCTTCAACCAAAATCATGAGAGGCTCAAAAGTGTCAGCATTGGGTTTGAACGGAACATTGCAATTAAAACAATCGAAAGGGGTCCTAAGGCTCTTTTTGCAATCAACAGAAAAACTACATTGCCCCAGAGAGCTCTGTGCGGTGTCCCCCGGCTTTCGGTTCATGCAGTGGAGCTGCCCGAGACCGCTTCGGATCCCTTTGCTCCCTTTCCGCCTTTGGGCTTCCTTGGCTTGAATTTCGGCTTCTGAGACCGATCTTCTGCGTCTGCTTCGGCACTGGGGAGATTCTGCGACTTTCCGACACCGAGCTGCCGCAGTCTGGTGTCGAACATGTCCACGTCCTTCAAATAGCTCAGATTGGCAGCAATCCAGGTCGGAGGGGCCAACTTTGCAAAAGGAGTCAACGTTGACCGCTTTTTGTTCAGAGCCAGTTGCTGGAAATTGGGTTCTGGTAGGCCCGTCATCAACCAAGCCAACCCCGTCCTGCCTGAATCTAGACATGACTGTTCGACGAACATCATCATCCTTCCACAGAAGGCCATGAGTTGGTGATTTTGGCTGGTTTCGCCGATCTCCCAGCCCCACGCTAGCATATACCCGAATTGCGCCATGGTCTTGTGATCTCCTATTGGGATCCTTTGCTCCAGAAACTGGCGGAGCAAAGCAGGTTCCTCTCGACCCTGTGGGATGCCCAATTCTGTTCGGGCGTTCATCTTCACCTGATCCACCAGCTTGCGATCGTCTTGCAGCTGGCGAAGGAACATCTCCCTCGCGGCATAACCTTTGACAGAGACGCCGCTTGAGGAGCTGGCGGCTCCGTTGTCCGAGCCGCTTAGCATAGCTGCTATTGGGTCTGCCTGAGATTTTGGAACTAAAGCTTTCACTAAGTCCTGGGTTTGTCTCATCTGCAGAACCATCAATCGCTGAAGAGGATCCGAGCTCTGTGCCAACTGGGCCAAAACCTGCTGTTCCAAAACTTGTGTTTCGGTGTCTAAGTCGATCACACCTCTGTCGGCTTCTGCCATCAAAGCTTCTTCCATGTGGTTCCTGGAGCGGTCGACCTGTGGAAGGGCCGATTCGGCTCGCCCAAGACGGCGAGGTGCCGGGCCCACTGCTTTGTGCAGTCGATCGAGCTCTGCTTCTGTGAGCTGCTTTCGTTTTGCAGACTGGTCGAACAGAGTAGACTGATGACCTCGATCGTGGGCCGCGGCTGGTCCTTTGCCAGCCTGAACTTTCACTAGGCCTTCCAACATAGCAATTCGATCCTTCAAGGCAGAGATCTGGTCCTCGGCATCTGGATCTACTGGGTTGCTGGGGCTTCCGACTTCGAAGACACCATCGGGCGGCACATCCTCGACCTCGCCTTCTGCAGCTGAAAGGTACTCGTTGGCAGTATCTACATCCAGCATGCTCATAACCCAATGTTCCGCAACATCCAAAGCTGATTCCAGAATAGGTCTTCCGACGGCTGTCTCGAAGCGGAAACTGGTCAAAGGCAAGTTGCTGCGACCAAACTTTCGAAACAGTGGCAGATACGACCAGGGCAAATCTGCTATTAGGACTTCGGCATCGCCCTGAAACCGACCTCTGGCAGTTTCGAACGAAACGTTGACTGTGGAAACGACAGCCACTTCCTCTCCCGGGCCTACGGCATATGCATGAAACACATCCTTGATCTCCTGGCCGGATGGCAGCATGACCATGAAACCATTTGTCCGAGCTCGCAGCATAAACACTTGGCTTCGCCATGTCGCACTACCGGTGGCTGAATCTGTCAAAACTGCAGCTGATAAGCGCTCACGCGCACCACCAGCTATGGCTTGAATCACAATCTCTGCAGTGAGGGAGCTGTTCACAGCTCCACTGGCCATCCCTTCCTAGATGCTTTACGCTCAATTGGAGATGAGCGATGCACACTGCAGGGAGGATTTGATTCCTGCCCGAGTCTAGTTGACTCACCGACTAAATTGCGAAGTGAGCGGCTTGACTTTGACCAAAAACCTTTGGGCTTGTCAGGGCAATACAAGCGAATAGGGAAACAGCACCGCAGTCCCAAAATGTCCGGACCGTCTGTCCTGAACTTCCCAGATTCTAGGCACCGGCGAGCTCGAAAACCAGCTCGCGCAGCAGCACGGGTGCACCAGCCGTTCACGGTGCTCAGAGTACTCCGAAACACACGCAAGTGATCAATGCAGCTGAAGTCTAAAGCTTTCACAGCTTCAGGGGACTTTGCAGCAAGACCTTGAGTTGGTGGGGTTGACGCCACCTCCCAGCCCGCCACGATTCGCCGCTCAGCGGCTTCCAGCCTCACGCGCAGGTCGCGAACCTGCCGCTCGATTTCCAGCAAAGAAGCGCGCGATGCAGCAATCTCCGTGCTCACGCACGGTATTCACCGAACCTCCGTTGCAGGCCGGTGGCTGTCTGGGCCACCAAGGGAGCAGGATGCAGCGCTTGGAACACCACCCCAAGCAACTGGACAGCTAAATGTCTACACCACCGAGATGCAACAAGGATCCCAATGCAGATTCCAACGAAACAGCCGCAGGCGCAGGAAATCCAAATGGCAAGGATGATGAAGCCCCAAGGACAGGTGCCCGATGGAGCGGAAAAGAATCGAAACTCCCTAAGGGTTTCAAGGAAAAGGGCGCTACTCCACATCAATTGAACCCAAAAGCTTGAGTCACATCGTTCCCATTCGCTCGAAGGATACAGGTGCATATATGGAAGACAGATCAAGCAGTTGTTTTTTAGTTGCAGGCACAATTACTAATCATGATACAGTACTTGCAATAAACCAAATTGAACTTCATGCAAGAGATGCAACAAAAAGAGATTCAACGACAGGAAAATAACAAGTAGGAGCACTCCTATGAATAGGCGGCTGTGCTCCTGGGAACGAGTCTATGTCCTAGGTATCTGTTAAAACGGCACAGCTTCCCAAACACTGTATCTTGAAGCATTGAAGCATAGCCATGAATCAACTTTGTCTATGTCACATCACGCCTACAATGTGAGCAAAAGAGGGTTTACCCTCACGAGGAGAGAAAACTCGCGATGTGAGTTTGGCAGGGTGTCAAAGGATACGTTCCCTACCACCGTCCTTTTACCAGATCGTTCTAAAAATGGGGCTACTGCCGGGCTACTGATCAAGGTAAGAACTATGTCCGAAGGATATGCCATGATCATGGTAAATCTCAAACGTGTGCCAAGTGTTTCATCAGCTCCCTTCTATTCAATTCCTTAGTTGGTCTGGTACCTCCACAGCATCTGGCCTTTCTTGCGGGCCACATGTGGGGAGGGGTGACGTGATCTGAATCCAGCCTGAGCGCAGATGGTACTTTGCATCCGCACCTCCAAAGAGAAACAGGCGAGTTGATGTGCACGGATCATCACAAGGAACCAACCGTTGACACATGCCAAAAACAGCTACAACCCTACAGTGGTTTCAGAGGCTCGATGGCACAATCCCCAAAAGGGTTTATATGATTCTATAATTCTATATGAGTCTAAAAGACATTAGGGGTGGGTATGCCCCATCGAGCCTCTGAAACCACATTAGG